TTTTGCAGCAAGTTCACTAACTGGCTTCGTTCTGACGAAGACGTTGCGACATAGATGGAGCGGTGGAAAGCGTCAAGGAGTGACTGGTCAACAACAGAGTCAGAAATGAGTGCGCTGAGGTCCGTAGAAAGTAAACTAGATGGAGCGTCAAAAATGTGACGGGCGTCGATCGGATGCACGTGACCGAGACATTCACCATAGAATAAAGGTAAAGGCCCTTCTAGCGTATTGTACACGAGCATCTTCGTGACGCCATGGTGGAGAGTAAGGAGAGCAATGGGCTGTGGAGAACATTTCCGTTGAATGAACAGGGCAGAGGGCGTAAATACAACATCACCGTCGGAAATAGCGTCACATGACACAGTCACCAGCAGAGAAGAGCGGGGTGGTACGGTGGTGTCGTCGGAAACAAACAGTTTATAACACGGCAGGGAGGCTTCGACAGCGTCAACATCAGGAAGTGCAGATAGCTCAAGTTCAGCGCGACAGCAGTCAATGACGGCATTATTATTCGCAAGGAAGTCCCAGCCGAGTATCATGTCATGGGAACACGAGGGCAGCACTACGAATTCGACAATATACACAATCCCTTCGATGACGACTCGTGTGGTGCAGGCTGCGAGAGGTGTTACACTTTCTGCGTTAGCCGTTCTAAGAGAGAGGCCGGATAATGGTGTCAGAACTTTGCGGAATTTGCGGCACAGGTTCATGGACAGGACGGATAGAGCGGCTCCGGTGTCAACAAGCGCCATGATGACGATACCATCGACTGACACTTCAATGACGTTAGCTGGACAGGGGCGAGGACTTGTGCATGGCGACGGGGACGCAGTTCGTGCCTCGGGAACTGCGGCCGTTAGTTTTCCTGGTCGGTGGGTCCGGAACGGCGACGCATAGGGGAAAGCGAACGTCGACGTGGAGATGGGGAGCGGCGGGTCGGGCCGTGTGGACGATCAGAAGGAAAGGAAGAGGAAGGAGGGCTTGAAGGCGTAGACGAAAACTGAGGGTCGAAAGAGGGCATTCGTCGAATGTTCTGGGCAGCCTGGCGACGACGACCATAACGTGCCACGTGGCCAACACCACCACAAGAAAAACATATGGGACGGTTGTCGTAGGTCCGCCATTGGTCGGAGTAGACTCCGACTTGCGGCTGGGGGGCAGAAAACTGCGGCCGAGGTGGTATCTGCATAGGCGGCGGTGAATAGGTCGGCGGTGAATAGGTCGGCGGTGAATAGGTCGGCGGCGAAAAGGGCGGCGGCGAATACATAGGCGCTGACTGGAACGCAGGCTGTCGAGGTCGAGCAACGGCTTCGGCGTACGTGAGAGGTGCGGCGACTGGGGGAGGTTCACGGGCGGGAGGAAGAACTTGTGCGACCTGGTCTTGAATGAAGTCGCGGAGTGTAGACGGCGATCTGCGTGGTTGATCGGGTACACAGGACATCAAAGAGAGCTGACGAGCGACCTAAGCGCGGATGAACTCTTGGATCTTGGAGAGAAGAGGGGCATGGTCTTCTCCTATGCCAAGGGTGGAAAGGCTGGACGAAGAGTCGTCGAGCACCGAGGGACGTCGGGTGGAAAGACGTTGCCTGCGCAACTCGTCAAAACTCTGGCATAACTCGATCAGTTCTAGGACAGTGCGAGGACTCTTTGAAAGCAACATTTGGAAAGCGTCGTCCTCAATGCCCTTCATGATATGCTTGATCCTAAGCTCTTCGGACATTGACTCGTTCACTCGCTTGCAAAGGTCGAGAACGTCCTCAATATAGCTTGTGAAATTCTCACCAAGCTGCTGGGACCGAGTATGTAAGCGTTGTTCCGCACGGCGTTTGCGTACCTCAGGCCGCCCGAAAACTTGTGTGAGGCTCGTTTTGAAGGCCGACCATGTAGGGAGTTCCGCTTCGTGGTTTACAAACCACAGCTTGGCCACGTCCGACAGGTAGAAAGAGACGTAGGCCAACTTGGCGGTGTCATCCCATTTGTTGTGAGTACTCACTCGCTCGTACATTGAAATCCAGTCGTCAACGTCCTTGTCTTTTGTGCCTGAGAAGACAGGGGGATCTCGCAGACGCAGAGAACCGGCGCAGAGAACAATAGGCGGTGCCGGTGGAGGAGTTGGAGCGGCGCTTGCGTCGGTAGGCATAATGGATGGTAAAGTGCGATTCCGAAGCTCCAGGGTGATCGAAACCCAGCAGAATCCACCACTTGTAACGGGGTTTATTTGCAGCGCAGAACGCAGAAAGCGAAGCAGTCAGCAGCGTCCGGCCAAGCGCAGCAAGCACAAACTTATGCTGATGGCGATGCCCCTGATGCGCCGAGAAATGCCGCTGAAGCTCCTCTTCTTCACTACAAGACGTTTATTCGTTTCTCTTCTTTCTCCTCACTGTCCCTGCACCCCTGGTTTTATTCCCTGTCTCCCCATTCAACCACTCTTACAGTCCAATCAAAACGCACCACTCTTATAGTCCAATCAAAACGCACAGATGTGTCTCTCCTCGCCACAACCTCGAAGACCCACCGCCTCTTGCCCACTCATCGGTTCTCTGCCGTCGCTCGGGTTTCTTTCACACCGGTTCCCGGAATGGTCGATGACGGGTGTTGCCAGGTCGTGTAAAAGCGCCTCCGAGTAAATTCCCGCGATGCCGGGCTGACAGGCCATCAATACAATTGGCCCTTGCGCCAATGCCGTCGCCTCCGCTGATTCTGATTGTCCGGCGGACGCATACGTGTACCTTCCACGTGTACCGGCCACCTGCAGCCTGGCTTGGTCTCCTGTAAGGCGCCATAATTGAGCCCTACAGCGGCACGGGAGTTGTCGCGTCCTCTGTGGCCAGCAGACAGTCATCGTCCCGCATTCCGGTGGCCCTGCTTCCTTGTTGGCGAGGGGTCGCCGGCCGCGGGGTGGGTAACATAAGGTATTCGGGGAACGCACGAAGTTCGAGCCCAACAGCCGACTAAACGCGAATATGGAACTCGAAGCTTTATTTATGAAAAAGACGTATAATTTTATAACGCTAGAACAAAAACAACGCTGCCAGGCTCCCTAACTATGCCAGAAAACAATTTGACAAGAGTCGCAATGAACGCTAAGCCATCATAGGCCTGGGGCACTTCCATGCCAGTGGCGCTAAAAACAGCGACTGCTAGCTGCGCCCCTTAAGCTCCTAAGGAGAGTTGGTAGTGAAAAGTGAGCTGCACCTCACTCAAACTTCCTTTAGCCAGCATCAATAAGGGCTCAGCAGTCAGTAAACGCCTCAAGAATACACAGGGCAGTCGAGTGCTGAAGATGTGCCTCATTGGCAGTGCTTTCTAGTTGAGCAAAGTAACCCTGAGAGCAATCGAGATACCCTCTGATGGCATTTTTGCTTATATTGTGCATGGCCTGGCACCATATGTCCATCGGAGTGCTTTACACGTATTCTGAGAAAGGTGGTAACCAGTCCTACTAAACACTCTTATGCAGCATCTACAGTCGGTTGCGTCTAAGTGGAATGATTTTCAGAGTTCGCTACTAAGCAGATTGCTATCAGTGACTCCATCGTGGCATGTTTTATACATAGTGGGCAGCGCACAAAAGGAAACACACAAGAGAAGGAATCAGGACAAGCGCTGGTCTAACAACTGAAAGTTTTATTTGAAAGAAAGCATATATATACATGTGTACACAGAAAATCAAGTGCTACGCAAGATTACTTCCGATCAATGAAACCAATCTCCTGTTCAGATAAAGAAACAGATGGCTGGCTAACGCAAATGCCAACACTCTTCGCCATGTGGTAAGCCTCAGCAATCTCACGTGTCCTTTGATTATGATGGCGGTCGATGATTGCGGTTTGCTCAAAAGAAGGAATACAACCGCAATCGCGGCAATGGCTGGCGAGGTGAGACAGAACCCCACCCTTTAAAGAATTTTCATGCTCCCGTAGCCTAATATTAATACATCTACCGGTCTGTCCTATGCAGACACTCCCGCACGAGCAAGGAATTTTATAGACTACCCCGGTCGAACATGCGGTATACTTCTTAACGTGCTTGATTGAACAAGTGTTATCAACCGCCCTCGTAATTCCCTTAACGCGTCTATGAATCTTGCCACATAAGCTACCCAATTTATTCCCACTTGAAAAAACAACGTCAACCCCATACTGCCCCCCAACTTTCTTTAATCTATGTGAAATGGAATGTACATAGGGAATCACTGCAAAACGCTTTTGCTCGCGTTGAGAGGTTGCTGGTTGGTTGGTGGGGTTGACGTTGTTTTTTCAAGTGGGAATAAATTGGGTAGCTTATGTGGCAAGATTCATAGACGCGTTAAGGGAATTACGAGGGCGGTTGATAACACTTGTTCAATCAAGCACGTTAAGAAGTATACCGCATGTTCGACCGGGGTAGTCTATAAAATTCCTTGCTCGTGCGGGAGTGTCTGCATAGGACAGACCGGTAGATGTATTAATATTAGGCTACGGGAGCATGAAAATTCTTTAAAGGGTGGGGTTCTGTCTCACCTCGCCAGCCATTGCCGCGATTGCGGTTGTATTCCTTCTTTTGAGCAAACCGCAATCATCGACCGCCATCATAATCAAAGGACACGTGAGATTGCTGAGGCTTACCACGTGGCGAAGAGTGTTGGCATTTGCGTTAGCCAGCCATCTGTTTCTTTATCTGAACAGGAGATTGGTTTCATTGATCGGAAGTAATCTTGCGTAGCACTTGATTTTCTGTGTACACATGTATATATATGCTTTCTTTCAAATAAAACTTTCAGTTGTTAGACCAGCGCTTGTCCTGATTCCTTCTCTTGTGTGTTTCCTTTTGTGCGCTGCCCACTATGGATAAGTTCCAACTCGCCCGCCTTTCGGTGCTACAACATGTTTTATACCCTCGCGTTTACGGCCAATTGCTGTCATCTCAAGTCACTTCTTAACTAGATTCACTAGAGGACATGGTTTTGTCCTTTACTTTTTTCAGTAAATAAAATTGCATGCAGGCAATCTCTCACTCACCTTAGCATACTCCGCAGGCAGACGGCCATCCTTGTCATATTCAAGAGCCTTCAGTTCGAGTTCAACGCCAATATGCTTTGCCAGCATACGGATAAAGAAGCAAGGTTCTCTGGTGACGACGGCGTACAGTTCGATTGTCATTGTTCTCTATTACTTTTGATCACTACCAGCCGCTGTCCATTCCACAACTAAGTGATAGGTAGTACAAAAATACCATTCGTCAGGAGGTGCAATTGACAAATGCCGTTGTCATACCCATACGAAAATGTCGGCGATGCCACCTGCTCAAAAATGATTCAGGACGAGAGCCCTGGTAGGGAGAGAGAGAGAAAGGTGGATAGCCTACGCAGGAAAAGGTCTGCATAGATTGTTTTCCAGTCACACGGCAGTGAATTTTACACAGGTGGCTCTGCTTTGTATTTCTCTGCGCGCTGTAGTAGGCCAGCAGCACTCATTTTTTTATTTCTTGAATCACGCATGTCCGGCGTTAAGCCGAAGTTTAAATTTGTGCTTGGAGATATTATTCGGTGCCTATTCAGCACTTATATATTTAATGCTGAATTTTTCTCTATTTTTAAAGCACGTGCAGTATTCCTTCGTAAAGAAAGTGTGTGTTTTGCACGCAGCTTTTGCACCCTGTAAATGAAAGGTCAATAAACACTTCAGAACCTGTACTGTAGAGTTCACATTAGTGAATCAACCATATAAAGAGTTCTTAACAGGGAACGCCCATTTGGTAGCGTTCCCAGTTCAGAAATACTGCTGTTTAAAAACATGAACTTGCAAGTACTGCACATGCGTTATCTGGTTCTCTTTTCGTTCTCTCCTCTCTTATCTAACTCGGAAATGACAGCAGTCACACGCCCCCACACACAGGTTTTTCGTGTTCGAGCATTTCATGCCTGTAAATATGCCGGCCGGTGGACGTGGGTGCGTTGGAGTAGTCACAATTAGGGTTACAACCGGATCATGCAGTGACGCAAAACCTGGTTCTACAGCCACGAAAAAACCTCGCCGACAGTAAGCAGGTCTTATCAAATGCTCCCTGCCTCCAACGAAAATACAGATTGGCAGAACCTATACCTAATTAAGGCAGATGCATCCTTTGCAGCTAAGGACATCACCGACTCGGCTAGGAAGCGAGCACTGCTGGTTGCAGCATTGAGCATACAAGCCGTTCAGGTATTCGCCGGAAAGGCCTCACCCAGAGCGCCAAATGCGTTGAGCTTCGAGCAAGTTGTCTGAATACTGTACGAGTACTATAATCTGAAGCGACATAAAATAACGCAGAGATTCAAGATTCTTTATTCATTACCAGGTGGAAGCGGAGCCGGCCACGCCGATTTAAGTAGAACTACAACGCATAGCCAATAACTTTGAAACGGCTTGCTTGGATGCTAAATTATAACTGCTTGGATGCTAATTGTGTGTGTTATTTGGTCAATGGCCCTTCATAAGCAGGTGCTCTTTAGAGCAAACCTCACGCTAGCGCAGGCTGAAGGGTCTGCAATTTCAGCTGAATCTGCTAGAAATGACGCTATGAAAATGGCCTTCGAGTCAAAGGAACCTTGCGTTCACTTTTTTTCGTCACATTTAGAATTAAATTGGAACTAATCCATTCTTTGTACTTTAATCTGGGCATCATTGTCTGTAAGTAGTAATATTGCGCCCAACAAAAAACAATCCGCCAAATTTACGTCCATTTAATTACTTCATAACTGGGATCTAGTTCGTGCAGAATTGATGCCCTCGGGTAGTATGCGAGGAATCACTGGCCAGCTGCCAGCTCGTTCTAAGATCACGTACCACTTCACGCCTACGGGCAAAGAAAAGTGATTGACACTCACCATATAGGCAACTGGTGGTTGACTGACACTCCCACGTTTGAATACACGTATGTATTGACTGATCTGTAGGGTTCAACGTCCCGAAACCACCATATGATTATGAAAGACGCCGTAGTGGAGGGCTCCGGAAATTTTGACCACCTGGGGGAATGCACATATGTACTCTACTATGCAGACGGTGGGATGACCGCTGCCGTAGTTCTTCACTTGATTTTATGAATAGCACTACAGGCCTTGTGTCATGTGTATTTTATTTATTTTATTTATTTACAATACTGCTACTCTCCTTCGAGAGCGTAGCAGTTGGGCAATACAGTAAGTTTTTACACACACAAAAAGAATGTAGACGTAAAAACATGCAAGCATAATAACAGGACATGAGGATCATATAACCATTGAGCAGTGCAGAAGTTAAACGTTAAGTATGTTATTATTACACAAAGTATGCAATAATCACAAGATACAAAGCAAGTTATAGCCACTATACCGAGCTGAAACCATGCCGAAATGCGATAGAAATAAAATACATGATTGAAGAAAGGAACTTATGTTAGCATTGGTATCGTGAGGGAAAACATAAATGGAACAGTTGTGACAAGAATAGCAAGCACTCAAAGCATACTTCAAAAATAGTTATACTACTGTAAAAGGAACATTGAAAAAGGTGTTGCTTTAACTAACGAAAAGCAGATCTGGACCGGTGCGCCTGCATGCGTAAAAACTGTTATGCACACCCAGTTTTTTCTATCTGTGCAATAAATTCTGATAGCGATTGGGAGTTTGTGATAGTGGCATCAAGTTGGTTCCATTACGCTATGGCGCGCGGGAAGAATGAGTACTTAGACGTGTCGTTCCTGCATGCGTATTCTGACAATGTGCGCGCGTGTTTATTGCTAGTTTGCCGAGCCTGTGAAAATGAAAGGTATTTGGATGAATCTATCTTGTAGTTATTTTTTACTAGCTGGAAAAGGAATTTTAAGCGAGCGTGTTTCGCTCTTGTGGACAGCGTTTGTAAGCCTGACTGAGTTAAAAGATGTGTTAAGGAATCTGTGCGTCTATATTTGTTGTAAATAAATCTTACGGCTTTCCTTTGTATTGCTTCCAGTTTGGTTATATTAGTCAGCGAATACGGAAACCAGACAGTGTTTGCATATTCTAAAACTGGTCTTACGAATGATGTGTAAGCTAGCAGCTTCGTTGGGGTTGTTGAGAGCGCTAGAGTTCGTTTTAAGAAGAATAGTTTGCATAGCACCTTTGAAGTTATATTAGCGATATGTTTGTACCATTTGAGATCAGAAGCCAGTGTAACTCCTAGATATTTATGTTCCTCAACTTTATTAAGAAGTGTGTTATTATTGGTGTATGGGAAGTTCGATGGTTTTGTTTTTCTGCTTACGGTCAGTATCCCTGATTTTTGTGTGTTTATTTTCATCTACCATTTAAAACTACAAATAATATTGAATCAACAGAACAAACTTAACTGAACACGTGCTCTGTGCTGTTGAGCATCTGGTGTCTTAGCTCGCGCTGCTGCACCTGCGCAGAGCTGATGAGCGGACAAGGCGATGGTGAGTTAAAGCAACATTTACCCCGCCGTGGGGGTGTAGCATTCATGACGCTCGGCTGCTAACCCGATGATTGCGGAATCGAATCCCGCCTGCGGTGGATGCATTTTCGACGGAGGTGAAAATGCTGTAGGCCCATGTGCCTAATTTGGGTGCAAGTTAAAAAAAAAACAGGTGGCCAAAATTTCGAAGCCTTCCACAACGGCATCTTTCATAACCGAATGATGATTTTGGGGCATGAAACCCCACATAATATTAGAATTAGTTACGGCAACATTCATGTACAGTATTACAGAGGTGTTACGTATTTGGCACTGGGGCCGACAACTTATTGGGCTCGCACCTAGGTGCGACGATGACCCGAGATTTCTTTGGTCACTCGCTCGTCTTCATACAGCTTGGTCTCTTTATAGCCCCCGAAAATCCGTTCCATCAGCCAGCAGTTTGAAGCCTTCAATCAGGAACCGCCACTGGTCGCTGGCTCAAATCGGCCCCGTGAGTGAGGGGGTTTGCCTCGCGCATCGGGAGGGTTTGCCGTCGGTTACGGCAGGCACACGGAAACAGACGCCATTGATTGCATCAGACTGTCGCGTTGGTTGGCACCCGTTGTATCAGCCTATAAATGTTGACGCCTCTTGCATCAGGTGATACCAACTTGATTGTGCAGTTTGGGTTGGACTCCCAGGCATAACAAAGCTCAGATCGCACTACAACGTAGACACGCCGGGCGAAGCCGTAACACTGTAGGCAGTGATCGAAAACGGGTAGGCAAGTCATGATGAAGGCGCCATGGCCATAGAACAGTTAAGTCACGAAGTCTATGCTATCCATGCAGATGAACACTTTGATAACTGTCAGACGACACCAGGAGAAAACAACATTGAACGACCTCATGACGGCATGCTTGGAGAAACAAGTGAGAAGTCGCCGGAGGCACAAGATGAAGGGTACACAGTCCGCCGTGGTGGATCAGTGGTACGGTGCTCGTCTGCTGACCTGAATGGCGAGTGTTCCATCCCGGCCGCAATGGGGGCATTTTGGTCAAAACGAAGGGGTTGAGGTCTATATACTGTGCGATGTAAATGCTCGCTAGAGGACACTAAATAGTTAGATGTTCCGAAGATGGTTTGATGTTATCGATACACTTTTTGGTGTCTCTCATATTTATATCGTGGATTTAGGACGTAAAAACTCAGATAATATACCACGAGTAGTGTACAGTGCGAGCGTTGTCCTGTTTCCATCTCGTCTTGTGCCTCCGTCACGTTTGAAGTTCATTTCCCAAATGCGCACCGTTTCGAACGAAACTAGCCCTATACCTTGCTGACAGCAGCTCCGCTCAAATACGTAGATAATTTTGCTTCAACAGGCAGTTTGTGCTGAGCATTCATGACAGGCTTTGTAGAGGGCGCTGTAGCCGTCGGCGAAAGCGGACGTGCCTCACATCGGCTCTGGCTTTTTTGCAATTAACGTGGCGTAAATAAACAGTTACCGCGATAATTTTGATACCATCGTGCGTATGAAGGTGCTGGAAATTGACTGGTGCCACTTTCAACCAAAAGGTATGAATTCTTCAGCGTTTACGAGCAACTTGTCTGTCAGGGAGGGGGGGGGGGCGGAATCGAGGCAGCGCTCGGGCAAACCACTAGGCTTAACTTCCGCATGGGCAGCCATTATGGCCTCTTCTATGGAACACGGCGTGTCCTGTGAAGCATTTTGCGGCTTCTGGAACCGGAAATATAGGCGGATTAATGCAAGTCAATTTGGAAGGAGAATAAAATACAACGGA